GCTCCAGGGTCTCTCTCTCACACACACACACACACATATATACAGGATGTTTTTTAAAAAAGTGTAAACATTTTCTTGTGTAATTTAAAAGTTATATATATATATAATTAAGAATGCAAAATCAATTAATTGTAATATCAATTAATAATGATGATTTCATTATATATATCAATTTAAATATATTTATATGTTAACAGCTGTAATATTATAATAATAATAATAGTTGTTTTATAAATATATCAATCTGTATTTATATGTATGTAGATCTGTATTTTTATTCTTAAATAAATAACATGAAATGATCATTTATCAGTAAAAATGCTATATGTAACCCCTTGCAGAATCTGTTAAAATGTGAATAATTTTAACAAAATAAGAGAGATCATACAAAATGCATGTTATTGTTTATTTAGTACTGTCCTGAGTAAGATATTTATATAAAAGATGTTTACATATAGTCCACAAGAAAAAAAAATAGCTGAAATTATTAAAATAACCCCCTTCAAAAGTTTGTGAACCTGACTATGGTTCTTCATACTGTGTTTGTTACCTGGATGATCCACGACTGTGTTCTGTGTTGTGATGGTTGTTCATGAGTCCCTTGTTTGTTCTGAACAGTTAAACCGAGCTCTGTTCTTCAGAAAACTTCAGTTTCCCAGCATCTTCTGCATATTTGAACCCTTTCCAGCAGCGACTGTATGATTTTGAGATCCATCTTTTCACACTGAGGACAATTGAGGGACTCAAACACAACTATTAAAAAAGGTTCAAACATTCACTGATGTAGAGAGAGACACGCAGACGCAGCATGCATGTAACACACACACAACTGTCATCTCTTCGCGTCGGGTGCTTCTTTGCCTCCACGTCATGCATTTAAAATCCTTTAATGCACAGCAAACCGTTGATTATCCCTTACATATATATATATTTATAGCATTGGTTTTGGTTCCTTGTATTGCACATTCAGTGTCTCAGCAGAGCTACGGTGTCAGCAGTGTTTCTGCAGCTTGTATCTGTACATACACACATATATATATATATATAATGTATGATTAAGTAGAGAGTGTTTTCAGTGTTACCTTAGCAGTGTTAACCCAAATACAAACTAATATTGCATCAGCCTCCCCTGACTGAATGTCATCATCACCAAAGCCGCTCTTAATGAAAGCTGAGGAGAGCGAGACGAGTGTTTGAGCAGCTGCAGCGGATCTCAGTCTGTCCTGAAGCCCGAGGCCATCAGTCGGTTCTGTTCGGCGCGACAGACGCTCTCAGGAGTGAGCATTAGTGAGCGTCTCTGAGCGCTGCTGCTGCTGCCGTCTGCTGTTTAACGCCATGAAAATGAGCCGCTGAATTCATGTCAGAAACACAGTCCTGGTGTCAAACATGCTGGGCGCTTTTAAACAGCTGTCTTATTCACCTTATTTGATGAAGAGTGATAAACCAGGGCTTACGATGAAATCTAAAACTGAATTAAAACCAAAATAAAACTGAAATTGCGTTATGGCTCAGTGTGACTGTCAAATCTCAAAGGCTGTGATTTAATGAAATAAGTTTATGCAATGCACGTTTTAGAATGAAGCGGGACACTGTGTGATTTTACGGGATTTAACTTTTGAAAAAATTAGGAAATTACAACAGCCATAAATATTATCTGTAATATTTGTAGTAGTATTGTAATTTTACTCTAATTGTTTAAATTTTTTGTGACATGCTACAATAGCAACTTCTTATTTTGTTTACTATTTTTATTTTGTAATAATGATAATAATAATAATAATGATGATGAAAGTAGTTAGTTATATTGATATAAAGTCACAAAAGTTTTGGCAAAATTGTGCTGCTGTATTTTTTTTAATTTGTTTTTTGTAAAATATCTTATATTTGTCTTTTTTTATTTTATAATGAATATAACAATGAAATTACAACAGTAATATTTCTTATTTTGTTTGCTATTTTTATTTAGTAATATTATTGTTGATAAAAATAATAATAATAATAATAAAAGTAATTCGTCTTATTGGTATAAAATCACAAAAATAAGTTTTGCTATATTGTGAAGCTGGATTTTTTTTTTTTTTTACTATTTTCTGTAAAGTAAAATTATTATCATTGCTATTTTTCAGAAATATTAGATTTTTTTAATAATAATTATGAATTTTATTAGTTTTTTTTTAATTTCATAATGAAATCTTACAATAGTAATATTTTTTGTTTTTGTATTTGTATTGATTAATATTAATAATGAAAATATTTAGTTATATTGTTATAAAATCACAAAAAGTGGCTAAATTGTCCAGCTGTAATTTTTAAATTTTTTAAATTATTTTTTTTTTTTACAGTTTTTCTGTAAATTGTAAAAAACAATTTTCTTTTGTTCCCCTAAATGCTCTTTTATTTTATAGTGAAATATTACAACAGTAATATTTCTTATTCTTTTTAATGTTTTTATTTAGCAACAATAATACCAGTAATTAGTTAGATAGATGTACACTCACAAAAAGTTTGGCTAAATTGTGCAGTTTTTTTTACAGAAGAATTCCAATGTGTTTTTTTTACCCCCAAATCATGCAGCCGTAAGATAAATACTGTGACATGCGTCGGTGTGCAGCATGCTTGATTTGTACACAGATGCATCCAGTTTCTCCACACAGTCTCTCATGACTCATGCTCCTCCACAGAGAAGCAACTGTCTACTTCTCGAAGTAACGCAGACTTTAAAGAGCGACTGAGACTTGGGTCTGAAATGTGCTCTGTGTGTGATTTGCTGAAGGAAACTGGCGAAGAAGCGTAAGGAGACGCTGAGCAGCACGAGGCAGGAGATGACGGTGATGGTGAACTCCATGGACAAGAGCTACGCTGAGCAGGGCACCAGCTGCGACGAGGCCATTTCATTCATGGACACACACAACCTCAACGGACGCAGTGAGTCTCTGAGCATCACACCACAGTCCAGCAAAGACCATACAAACCCTCGTCTGTGCAAACACTGAAGACCACAGTAGAGAGTCTGGAGCTCTCTTCTGAACTGAGCAAACTCCAGACATGTCAATAAAAGTATCCTAAAGTGATTTAATGCATCTTATATGTGACCCTGGAGCACTAAAGCAGTATTTGTAGCAATAGCCAACAATACATTATATCGGTCAAAATTATCAATTTTTCTTTTATGCCAAAAATCATTAGGATATTGCGTAAAGATCGTGTTCCATGAAGATATTTTGTACATTTCCTACCGTAAATATATCAAAACTTAATGTTTGATTAGACTGTCCTATTTATTTTTTATTTATTCCATTTTAATGGTTTAATTAAATTTTACTAATAAAAAAGTATGTCTAATCAATTGAAATTATGAAAATTTAACAATTAAAAAATTCATAAATATTTTACCAATAATAGTACCTCATGAAAATGTTCATTTTTTCAGAACTTTGTGTTTTCGGTTTTAAAATTTTAGGTTACATTTTAATGGTTTAATTAATTAAATTGAATTCATAAATTGAATTCATAAAACTTTAACCATTTAAAAAATTCATAATTTTTAAAAAACAATAATAGTCTCGTATGATATTTATTTATTTATTTATGAATGATTTCTGGATTCCGTTTTAATGGTTTAATTGAATTTGAAAACGATATAGATACATTAAAAAAATTATAAAAATACACTACAAAATTACTAAAACTTTGACTAAAATTTAAACGTAAAATAAACGTAAAAAATAAATAAATAAATAAAATCTGCTTCGAAATATTTACAAATTTTAAGTGTATCAGTACTCAGAAACTAAAATAACCAAAACGAAATAATCTTAAACTAAACACTATATAGACATATTTAAAAATAATAATAATATTATACAAAAAATATAAAAAATAAAATCTAGTTTAAGGTTTTATAGTATATTAACATTATACTAAAATAACTAAAACTAAATAATCTAAAACTTAATAAAAACTATGTAGATATATATTTTAAAAAAGACAATAATGTACAGTAAAATAACTAAAATTTTTACTAAAATTTAAATTAAAAGAACATATAAAGATAAAATCTAAATCAAAATATTAACAAAAACTTTAAACATATCAGTAGTATACTAGAACAACTAAAACTACGTCTAAAACTGAAAACTAAAACTTTAAAGCTATTTAGACATTTAAAAAAAAACCTAATGACAAAAACATACAACAAAATTACTAAAACTAACTAAAATTAACATGAAAACAGAACATTAAAAAAAATTAACAAACAATTTAATAGTATATCAATAGTATACTAAAATAACTCAAATTAAATAATCTAAAACTAAACACTATATAGACAATAATAATATTTTACAAAAAAATATAAAAATAAAATCTAGATAAAGGTATTAACAAACTTTAATAGTATATTAACAGTATACTAAAATAACTAAAACTAAATTATCTAAAACTGAAAACTAAAAACTATATAGATATATTTATAAAAAAGACAAAAATGCACAGTAGAATTACTAAAATTTTTACAAAAATTTAAATTAAAAAACATATAAAGATAAAATCTAAAAAAAAAACTTTAAACATATCAGTAGTATATTATAACAACTAAAACTTAAAAGCTATTTAGACATTTAAAAAAAATTATGACAAAAACATACAACAAAATTACAAAAACGAACTAAAATTAACATGAAAACAGAAAATTAAAAAAATGTTACAAACAATTTAATAGTATATCAATAGTATACTAAAATAACTAAAATTAAATAATCTAAAACTGAAACATAAAAATGCAATAAAAATGGCAAAATTACAAAAAAGAAAGCAGAAAATATAAAAATAAAATCTAATTCAAAATATTAACAAAAAAAACTTTGATATAAGTATACATCAGTAGTATGCTAAAATAATGCTGGTGCAGAGAAGAGACACACATGCTGTTCATATGACAGCTTTTAAGGTTAACAACATCAAAATACAAATAAAGCTCATTTAATAATTGTATAGTGACATGTTTGATTTATACAGAAGTGTAAGTCACATCAGTGTTTTAAGAATTCAGATGTATTCATCACATCTTGCCTGCTTTCTTCTTCTGAAAGCTGTCTCCTCGCCGTCGTCCTTTACCCTGAAGACTAACACACTGAGCACCGCCGTGCCAAACTCCTACTATCCAGGTAAAGCTCTGCGTTCCTCTGTGCTTTTGTCATGTCTGATGCTTTGCTCTGCTCAGCTGAGCTTTAGAGACCGCATACAGGAGTCCCTTTAACTCACATCTGTTACTTTGAGCTCATGTACAGTGGGTACGGAAAGTATTCAGACCCCCTTAAATTTTTCACTCTTTGTTATATTGCAGCCATTTGCTAAAATCATTTAAGTTAATTTTTTTCCTCATTAATGTACACACAGCACCCCATATTGACAGAAAAACACAGAATTGTTGACATTTTTGCAGATTTATTAAAAAAAAAAAACTGAAATATCACATGGTCCTAAATATTCAGACCCTTAGTACCACTAAAGAGTACAAACATACACTTTTAGAAGATATATATCGTTCAAACTTTGGGGTCAGTAAGATTTTTATTTTTTATTTTTAGGAAATGTTTACTTTTATTCAGGGTTATTCTAGTTAACAAAAGCTAAAAATCAAAAAAAAAAAAAAAAGAAGTTTCATTTCTTGCAATAAAATTAACTTTATCTAAAATATGCTAAATAAAATTTTTATTTCAGCTATCATAAAAAACATTAAAACAAACATTTGCATTACTTGAAATAAAATAAACTTTAACTGAATAAATATAAAAAAACTTATTTTATTTTATTTTTAAAAAACTTACTCGAAATGAAATAAACTTCAACTGAAATATACTAAACATACTATAATAAAATTGAAAACTACTATCTAAAATATGAAAACTTAAATATTAATTTAAACTTGATGTACTAAAATAACTAAAACTGGAATAAAAATTAATACAAAATTAACAACAAAATTACTAAAACTTTAACTAAAATTAAAATAAAAACAGAAAATATAAAAATTAATTATTATTGAGCACAACATATTATTTAAAACTATAATAATATCTCAATGATACAAAAATAACATTGCTTTTATTTATTAAGGATGCATTAAATTGATAAATTTTTTTATTTATTTCAGCCATCATAAAAACAATTAAAACAAACATTTGCGATACTTGAAATAAAATCAACTTTAACTGAATAAATATTTTAAAAACTTATTTTATTTTAGCTATCATAAAAATCCTAAAAAAAAAGAAAACTTACTCGAAATTAAATAAACTTCAACTGAAATATATTAAACATACTAAAATAAAATTGAAAACTACTATCTAAAATATGAAAACTTAAATATTAATTTAATTTAACTTGATGTACTAAAATAACTAAAACTGAAATAAAAATTAATACAAAATTACTAAAACTTTAACTAAAATTAAAATAAAAACAAAATATAAAAAAATGAATTTTTATTGAGCATAAAGTATTATTTAAAACTATAATAATATCTCAATGATACAAAAATAACATTCCTTTTATTTATTAAGGATGCATTAAATTGATCAAAAGTGACAGTAAAGACATTTATAATGTTTCAAAAGATTTCTATTTCAAATAAACGCTGTCTTTAGAACCTGGAAAATAAAATGTATCACAGTTTCCACAAAAATATTAATGTTTTCAACATTGATAATAATCAGAAATGTTTCTCGAGCAGCAAATCAGCATATTAGAATGATTTCTGAAGATCATGTGACACTGAAGACTGCAGTAATGATGCTGAAAATACAGTTTTGATCACAGAAATAAATTACAGTTTAACAGATATTCACATAGAAAACAGCTGTTTTACATTAGAATAATATTTCACAATTTTTACTATATTTTTGATTAAATAAATGCACATTAAAAAATAATTACCCACCCCAAACTTTTTCTATGGGCAAGGTACCCAGCTAATTAACTATGTCAAACCATTTCATGCGTAACCAGTTATGTCTGTACGTTCACCTGTTTAACCTTCCTGACTAATGCAGTACTGACTTGATCTGGATCAGTGTGGACTGACCCGCTTTTCTCTTCTCTGTAAACCTCTGCATGTCTCTCGGCCGTGAGCAGACCCTTCGTGCCGACCGCAATCTTAGGGTGAGAAAACCTCTGTTTCTGTCCACACATGACGGTGTCCTGAGAATAGCTTGTTTGTGTTGACGAGAGACAGACAGGAAGTAGATCTGACGCTTCCTCACATTCATACCTGCCTGCTTTTCTCTTCTGTGTGAGACTTGAGGGTTTATTCCTCCCCGAGCCGAGGCTTCACCCCATCCCATCCGCATTCCGTGTCGTGCGTGTGACGTCACGTATGTCTATGACCTCTCATGTGCATGGACAGATAATGTGGACCGGATGAGGGGGGAGTGACAGTGTGGCACGAACGAATAAAGCGACCCATGGTCATTTCCATCAGTGTCTTCAGACGCGCTCTTTATGCTCACGATAGCATATAAACACACTTTGTCATTATAAAATCAATTGTGCACATGCCAGTTTTTAGAGCAATACCCATTTTAATGCTAAACTATGAACTAAATACAGCTCCAAATCACTATATTAAATGATATCTTGGGTTCAGGAAGTATTTTTCCCATTCATTCATTCGAAAGACACAGTAACGAGGGAATTAATCTTCTGTTGTCTTCTGTAACGGGATTAGTTCACCCCAAAAAATATAATTCTGAAAATTTACCTGAAATATATTACATTTACTAAAATAAAATATTTAAAAAAAATTTTTTTATTTCAGTTATCATAAAAATCCTTAGTGTTATTCAAAATAAAATCAACTGAAGTATACTAAAATAATTGTTTTTTTAAATAATATAATTTTATTTTAGCTAGTCGCGACATTTCTCCTATTAATTTAACTTGAAAACTGAAATGCAAGTGAATAATAAAGCAAATAAAAATTATAAAATCACACAACAAAATTACTAAAACGTTAACTAAAATTACTATAAAAACAGAAAATATTTAGAAAACAGCTGTTTTAAATTATAATAATATTTAACAATTTTTACTATATTTTTTTTACTATATAAAGTGACCCATTGTCATTTCCATCAGTGTCTTCAGACGCGCTCTTTATGCTCACGATAGCATATAAAACACACTTTGTCTTTATAAAATCAATTGTGCACATGCCAGTTTTTGTGCAATACACATTTTAATGCTAAACTATGAACTAAATACAGCTCCAAATCACTATATTAAATTATATCTTGGGTTCAAGAAGTATTTTTCCCATTCATTCATTCGAAAGACACAAGAATGCGTACTAACGAAATAATTAATCTTCTGTTGTCTTAACGAGATTAGTTCACCCCAAAAAAATATAATTCTGTCATCATTTGCTCATTTCTTTCTTCTGTGGAACACAAAAGAAGATATTTTGAAGAACGTTGGGAACCAAACAACTTTGGACCCCATTGACTTTCATTGTATTGTGTTCCACACAAATAAGTAAGTCATGCAGGTTTGGAATGACTTGATTGCAAGTAAATGATGACCAAATTAATGACTTTGGGTAGGTAACTAGCTATCTAGTTATACTGCGTTCATTCACTGCTTCAGAATCACTATTTACGTCATGATTTTTTTACATCTACAGAAGCAGATCTCAGATCTTCAGTGTTGAAATTAATGTAGTTTAGTGCTAAATGATTGTGAAAAGGTGAACAAAATTATTTTTTAACAAATCTGTAGGAAAAGTAAAATGTTGAAATACTGTTGTGATACCTACGTTGATTCGATTTGCAAAATCAAAACAAAATTTCACTATGTTTCAACCTTGACCCATGACATTGCTTCAACTGGGAATAAACGTTGAAATGTGTTGTTTCAACATTGGAAAAACATATAGTGATAAATGGTTGTGAAAACGTACAAAATGCAATATTTTATTGAGATCTGTGCGAGAAGAGGTTGAAATAATGTTGCAATATCAACGTTGATTTGATTTGCAAAACTAATATCTTCTACATCCGTGACATTGATTTGCTTGTAAATAAACGTTGAACGGTGGAAAAAAGTTTAGTGTTGAATGATTGAAAAAGTGAACACAAGTCTTATTAATCAATATTTACATTTTAAGAAGTTTTGTACAAAAAGTAAAATGTTGAAACAACGTTGCTGTATCAACACTGATTTGATTTGCAAAACTGAAACAAAATTCTACAACAATTCATCAATTGTTCAATTGATCAATTCATCCTTGATTCCCGTGAATAAATTTTGAAATGCGGTTGAAATAATGTAAGTTGTTGTTTCAGCGTTAAAAATAAAAATGAGGGCTAAATGGTTGTAAAAAGGTAAACAAAATCAACACTGAAATTAAATTGAAACAAAATTCAAACAATTCAACCTTGATCCATGACATTGATTTACCTGTGAATAGCCTAAATGTTGAAATGTGGTTGAAATAATGTCAATTAATAATATCAACGCTGGCAACGGTTAGTTCTGAATAGTTCTAAAAAAGTTTAACAAAATACTTAGAAATCAACAATGAAATTTTAACAAAAAAGTAAGACATTGAAACAACGTTGCAGTATCAACATTAATTCAATTTGCGAAATTGATACAAAATTCAACACTGATTCAACCTTGATCCCTGATGTTGAATCACCCTCGAATAGGCGTTGAAATAATGTAAGTTGTTTCAACGTTAAAAAAATAGTTTTTAGATATAAATAGTTGTGAAAATGCGAACAAAATGCTTACAACTCAACATTGACATTTTAAAAAGATCTGTAGGAAATCAACCTTGAACAATGACATTGAATAAATAATGTCAGAGTTTAAATAATGTCAGTGTTGTTTCAATGTTGAAAAACAGAGTTCAACATTGAAATTTTAGCAAGATCTGTAAGAAAAGTAAGACGTTGAAACAACGTTGCGAGGTCATTGTTGATTTGATTGGCAAAATTGAAATAAAATTCAACACTGAATCAACCTTGATCCATGACGTTGAATAAACATTGAAATATAGTTGAAATAAAGTCAGTTGTTATATCAATCTTGAAAAACATCGGCATTTAATGCAAAAATGTTAGAGTTCAGCAAGATCAGTGTCAATTCGATTTGCAAAATTGATACAAAATTCAACACTGATTCAATTCACCCATGAACAAGCGTTGAAATAATGTATGTTGTTGTTTCAACATTGAAAAACAATTATGTTTAATGCAAAAGCATTACCAAAGTACTTAAAATACAGAATTAAAATTTTAACAAGATCTATATATATAGAAGTTAAACTTTCAAACAGCGTTGCAAGGAAACTGTTGATTTGATTTGCGAAACTGAAACAAATTTCAACACTTGATCCATGATAAACTTTGAAATGCCGGCTTGAATCACGTAACTTCCGAGCTCGTATAGGCCTGTTTAGAAAGTTTTATCCGTTAGGCCTGAATGGGATTTTTACTTGGGGAACCCGAGCGTTGAGCAGGTTCAGATTCGGCCTCGTCTCATTCCTTCATTTTGACACCTCAGACGGTTCAGCGCAAGTCAGTCAGAACCTCAGATAGTCTCTGGACTTCATGTGTAGCTGCTCTTGCTTCAACTATCTTGTTGCTTACACCCTTTTTCCTCTCTCTTCCTGTTTTCTTTCTTCACATTTAACCTGTTATGTATCCTCTTAAAAAGTGCCCATTAATGGTAAGTTGCCAATCGGCCCTGTGTTTTTTGGGGGTGACTGTCAGTGGGATCCGCTCCCCCCTCTCCCCTCAAACCGTGTCGCCTCTCTCGCATGGCCTTGTGTCGCATTTCGCCTCCCATTAGCTAGCATTGCCGCCCTCTTCATACATACAGTACAGTGGCAGCCAAAATGATTAGAACACTAGTATTTCCAGCAGCTAAAACATGGTTTTAAGTCAGTTATTTCTATCTTTTGCTGTAGTGTGTGAGTAGGAAATATCAGTTTACATTTCCAAACATTCATTTAGCCATTAATTGTAATAATACAGTGAGATGTTTGTGCTCCACACAGAGATCTGATCATCATCAGTCTGTCTGGAGTCACATGAAGAAACAGAACAAACTGAGACAGACTCAATCCAGAAGAACTGACGCTTCAAGAAACCTCCTGCAAAGCTCCTGAGAAACTCTGCTCAAGTGCAACGAGGGCAAACGCTGCTTTAAACGCAAAAGATGCTTGCACCAATGCTTGATTTTATATAGTTAATTGATCAAGAAAATCTATTTATGACATTATGTTTGACAGCATCCTCATTTTACAGCATTTCTAGCTGCTGGAAATACTAGTGTTCTAATTATTTTGGCCACCGCTGTAAACCCTCCACTCACCTGCATCCTCAAATGTGCTTTCTTTTGGTTCCCAACCCTGTCGTGAAGGTGCCACATCCAGACATCACCATTTCACCATTCGTGCGACCTCATTTTGACATCGGATAGCCAGTTTCTTTAGCTAGAACAGACGGCTTGGTTTTGTTTCGATGTTACCGGCGTTCTGTTTATGCACATGTTTGGATTCGACTCACCTGTTGTTCTGTGCTCATCTCTTCATGTAGTCGTCAACCTACTGCTCATCCAATCCTTTGCAGTTTTCTTCTGCGTTTGCTGACCGTTTGTCCCTTGCGTTTTTCCCATCAGACGAGAACCACACCATGACAAGCGAGACCAGCAGCTTGGTTCAGTCGCACACTCACTCCTACAAGAAACGCGAGGCGGTGGATGTCCCATATCAGACGGGACAGCTTCATCCGGCCATCCGTGTGGCCGATCTTCTCCAGCACATCACGCAGATGAAGTGCGCCGAGGGTTACGGCTTCAAAGAGGAATACGAGGTGCGTTCTTTTACTTTAGTCAAAATTTGTTTTGTCACACGTTTGTACGTCACTGCATGCTGTTTGCATATTACTTTTTAAGGGTGGTAACTGAATAAATCACCACAGGTAAAAACACACTCACCCCAGTGTCGTTCCAAACTTGACTTTGTCTTTTGTGAATCACAAAAGGAGATTTGCGAAATTGATACAAAATTCAACACTGATTCAACCTTGATCCCTGATGTTGAATCACCCTCGAATAGGCGTTGAAATAATGTAAGTTGTTTCAACGTTAAAAAATAGTTTTTAGATATAAATAGTTGTGAAAATGCGAACAAAATGCTTACAACTCAACATTGAAATTTTAAAAAGATCTGTAGGAAATCAACCTTGAACAATGACATTGAATAATAATGTCAGAGTTTAAATAATGTCAGTGTTGTTTCAATGTTGAAAAACAGAGTTCAACATTGAAATTTTAGCAAGATCTGTAAGAAAAGTAAGACGTTGAAACAACGTTGCGAGGTCATTGTTGATTTGATTGGCAAAATTGAAATAAAATTCAACACTGAATCAACCTTGATCCATGACGTTGAATAAACATTGAAATATAGTTGAAATAAAGTCAGTTGTTATATCAATCTTGAAAAACATCGGCATTTAATGCAAAAATGTTAGAGTTCAGCAAGATCAGTGTCAATTCGATTTGCAAAATTGATACAAAATTCAACACTGATTCAACCTTGATCCCTGATGTTGAATCACCCTCGAATAGGCGTTGAAATAATGTAAGTTGTTTCAACGTTAAAAAATTGTTTTTAGATATAAATAGTTGTGAAAATGCGAACAAAATGCTTACAACTCAACATTGACATTTTAAAAAGATCTGTAGGAAATCAACCTTGAACAATGACATTGAATAAATAATGTCAGAGTTTAAATAATGTCAGTGTTGTTTCAATGTTGAAAAACAGAGTTCAACATTGAAATTTTAGCAAGATCTGTAAGAAAAGTAAGACGTTGAAACAACGTTGCGAGGTCATTGTTGATTTGATTGGCAAAATTGAAATAAAATTCAACACTGAATCAACCTTGATCCATGACGTTGAATAAACATTGAAATATAGTTGAAATAAAGTCAGTTGTTATATCAATCTCGAAAAACATCGGCATTTAATGCAAAAATGTTAGAGTTCAGCAAGATCAGTGTCAATTCGATTTGCAAAATTGATACAAAATTCAACACTGATTCAATTCACCCATGAACAAGCGTTGAAATAATGTATGTTGTTGTTTCAACATTGAAAAACAATTATGTTTAATGCAAAAGCATTACCAAAGTACTTAAAATACAGAATTAAAATTTTAACAAGATCTATATATATAGAAGTTAAACTTTCAAACAGCGTAGAAACGCGAGGCGGTGGATGTCCCATATCAGACGGGACAGCTTCATCCGGCCATCCGTGTGGCCGATCTTCTCCAGCACATCACGCAGATGAAGTGCGCCGAGGGTTACGGCTTCAAAGAGGAATACGAGGTGCATCCTTTTGCTTAATTTCTCTTTAGTTTACTCTCAACATCATTTGTTTCGTCACACGTTTGCATGTCGCTGCATGCAGTTTGCATATTATTTTTAACGGTGGTAATTAAATATAATCACCACAGGCAAAAACACACTCACCACAATGTCGTTCCAATCTTGACTTATGTCTTCCGTGAAACACGAAAGGAGATGTTTAGCAGAATGTGCAAGCTTCAATTTACTATGCAAAAAATTAGACTTTTTTTTTTCAGAGACATTTTGTTCAACATCTCTTTTTGAAAGTCATACAGGTTTGAAATGACAACTTATTAATTTTTGGCTGAACTATTCTATTGATATTCACTGCAAAAACTATTTTGCTCAGTATTTTTGTCTTGTTTTCCAGTGCAATTATGTAAAAACATTAACTTAGTAGCAAAGTGACTTACGATATTAAGTCCCTTAACGAGTTTATGCTTAAAACAAGAAAAAACAATTGTATCAAGGGGAACAGAGAAATAAACTTCAAAGGGAAAACATGATTATTTTTTGGACCCCATTAGCAGATATTTTTCTTGTTTTAAGCAAGAACTCACATAGTTTTCAGAAAGTAAGACTTAATATACTCTTGTTTTCCAATACAAATATCTAAATATTCTTAAATCAAGATCTATTTGCTTGAGATGCAAAATAACTTATTTTAAGAATAAATTAAAGACTTAATATCTTAGGTCATTTTGCATAAGTAAATGTATCTTGATTTAAGAATACTTAAGTATTTTGTCTTGTTCTCCAGTACAAATATCTAAATATTCTTAAATCAAGATACATTTACTTAAAATACTCACTCATTTTCTGAAAAATGTGAAGCGAGATTTAATTTTAAAAATGATTTATTTATTTATTGTTTTAATTTACCCCATTAGCAAATATTTTTTTACCATAAACTCACTTAAATGTGATCATTTTTATGGAAAAACAAGTCTTACTATAAGTCATTTTGCTTCTGAAGTAAATATATCCTAAAGATTTAAGAATGTTTGGATATTTGTACTGGAAAACAAGACAGAAATACTGAGAAAGAGCATTTTTTGCAGTGTTATCTCCATGAGCTCATGTCATCACCAAACCGCTCCAGTTCTGTTGAATCCTTTCGATGTTACCGGCGTTCTGTTTATGCACATGTTTGGATTCGACTCACCTGTTGTTCTGTGCTCATCTCTTCATGTAGTCGTCAACCTACTGCTCATCCAATCCTTTGCAGTTTTCTTCTGCGTTTGCTGACCGTTTGTCCCTTGCGTTTTTCCCGTCAGACGAGAACCACACCATGACAAGCGAGACCAGCAGCTTGGTTCAGTCGCACACTCACTCCTACAAGAAACGCGAGGCGGTGGATGTCCCATATCAGACGGGACAGCTTCATCCGGCCATCCGTGTGGCCGATCTTCTCCAGCACATCACGCAGATGAAGTGCGCCGAGGGTTACGGCTTCAAAGAGGAATACGAGGTGCATCCTTTTGCTTAAGTTTACTCTCAACATCATTTGTTTCGTCACACGTTTGCATGTCGCTGCATGCAGTTTGCATATTATTTTTATTATATTTATTTATTGTTTTAATTTACCCCATTGGCAAATATTTTTTTACCATAAACTCACTTAAATGTGATCATTTTTATGGAAAAACAAGTCTTACTATAAGTCATTTTGCTTCTGAAGTAAATATATACTAAAGATTTAAGAATGTTTGGAT